TGGGCTGGCAGCTGCAGGTCTTGCTCCACTGCACCGAGCCAGGCAGCAGCCTGCAGGGCTGCCACGCTTCCTCTCCACCACCTAGTAACACCCACGGCACAGGTACCCTGTCATCGGCCAGCATGGAGGTGCAGGCCTGCTGGCACACAGCCGTGCACTGAACAGATGTAGGATGTGTGGTCACGACCTGGTCTCCTGACGCCCCACACAGACTGCCCCAGCCCAGCTAGGAGCCGCTCACCTGTTTTACTGTCCACGGTGAAGTGCTGCTCGCCCTCCAGCACACTGTAGACTACCCGGGCACTGCTCCCATATGTGGGGTCATCAGCATCAGATGCCATTACCTGCATCACAGAGGTGCCTGCAGCAGGGACAAGGAAGAAAACAGTCAGGAAGGAGGTGTGAAGAGCAATGCAAACCTCAGGGCCAGGGGCTGGCAGAATGGGAAAGCAGGGGCCAACACTGATCACTCACACATGCTGATGGAAACTAGAACAGTCGGGTGCAAATGCAACAGTGCCTCCGCACAAAAGCCTGAGAGCCAGGACTCCAGACACTGCTGTAAATGCCCCTTTTGTCCTGCAGAGTGGCAGGAGGGATGAGACCTTGGGCCACCTCAGGGCTGCTGTCTAGGCAGGACATGCTCTCCAGGAGATCACCCGTCTGAACAGCTGGGAGCTTTTCTCCCAGCAGACTTCTGCTGGACCACCTGGGAAGGAGCTCAGAACAAGATATTATCACCACAGCTGCCCCCCTTCCTGTCAGCACTGAGCAACAGGGTCACCTTCAGGTCGTAGAGGGGCCTGATCCACACTGCAGCACCACATCTCTGCAGCAGACAGACCTGCAAACGGACGACAGCCGTGGGAGAGGAAAGGCTTTCGTTCGCCCAGAGCCAGACACAGCACCACGTCCTCATGCTCTACACGTAGCAGGGCAGGACAACTATAAATTGGATAAAAGTCCATCAAATGTCTGCAATTAAGTTATTGATTTTCAACACTGCCTCATTAAACCGGGTGCTTCACTCCAACTGTCCCTGTGATGGCTTTAATTTGACATCATGCTCAATTTGACAAAAGCAGGACCCAGGACATGAGAATGGGGCCAGGAACAAAGGGGCTGAGATCTAGAGAGACAACAGAAGGGATGAAGGAGGGGAAGCCTAATCCTACCTACAGGCACCTCTGAGAAAATGGATGGTCTGACCAAAGACCTGTGAGGACAGGCTACCCAGTTCCACCTCTAGCACTAGACAGAGCATCCCTGCCCCAGAGGTCAAGCACCGGCACCAGTCACCTCCCTGGTGGGACGAGGTGCAGGATGGGGAGAAGAGGCCTGAGCTGCTCATGTGAAAGACCAAACCAACTGGGAAACTCCCTGCTGCAAGATCCTGCCACTGCTAAGAGCTGACAAGGCTGGCAGAGGAGTCTAATTTATAACGGACAAGATCCTCCAGCAATGATTACAGTTAAAAGGCAGTTTTTGCTTCAGAGATGACTCAAGGGCACAAGACCAGCCCAAACTGAAATGCCCAGGAGAGAACATTTCCCAGCTCACACTGCTGCATCCAGCAGCTCTGCCTCACACACCTCTTAGGGCTGCTGTGCCACACCAGCTGAGGACCAGAGGTACCACACTGTGGTCCAGAAACCCTTCTGTTCTGCAGTGCATCCATCCATATGCTGCAAAGACAGTCTAACAGACTGGTCCTGGCTAGATCCATGTCATGAATAACCCAGAGCCAGGCTTACTACTAGCTGTCAGCATGTGAGTCTACACCTATTACATTCCCAAACACCAGAGGTACGCACAAAATCAGTAGCAGCCTCTGTTCCCACATCACTGGGCAGAAATGGAGCTGGAACCATCCAGATAGAGGATGAAGAGCTCCAGTCTCTAGTGTCTTCCTCTTCCGCTGTCAGGAGACCACAGCCCACAGCTTGCAGGAAAGCCAGGCAGCCAGAGTGCTTCTGCACCAGCCCAGCCTGGACTCAAGCTGGAGACAAGACAGTGGAGATAGCAACGCTGCTGCGAGCAGCTGGGACGCACACGCTCCCCCAGTCCAGTTCACTTCTGATCTCCCGGAAAGCGTGTTCACTGAAGAAAGTGAACAGTTACCATGGTTGCTTTTCATTCTCCCTGGCTGCAGCTCAGCTGATAACATAAGAATCCCCCTCATCGGTCTTCAGCAACAAGCTAGTTCGAGTCAACTTATTTATGCTTTGCTGTCTCCAGTTATGTCTGAAGTTATGGTGCATCCCTGCCAGGCACATCCAGATTACACCACAGCAATACTAGCTCCCTGCCTTGCAAACAGCTGTTTAAGAAATAGTATTGCTGCATTTCCTTGGAAGGGTCTGGCCTGCTGCCTCCTACCCCTGCCTCCCATCACACAACTCTTTCACCAGGTATGAACCAAGGCAGATCACCCCCACATCAGCACCTGCACATCCACTCGGACACCCTAACACATTCACTTGGGAAGCTTCTGATCAGAAAGCTGAGAGGACAGGGATCAGAGAAGGGAAAGTACATGGCACCAGGGTCTCCAAGCACCCCTCTCCCAGCTGCAGCAGAGAAGCCCTGCTAGAGATGCTGGAGGTGCCAAAGTCTGAGAATCACAAAAAGCAGCACCTGACCCTGGCAACAGGTAGGGCTCCTTCTGTGCCCAGCCTGGCAGGAACCAGCTGAGTCCATGCCCAGTGTCCACAGCAGCACCCACTCCTGTACCTGCACCCATTATCACCACGGGCAGAACCTGTTGACCTTGCACAAACATCCCACACTCCAAGAACAACTTGCTCTTGCCTGGGCACCTCAGAGGCAAAGGGTTAGGAGATCCAGAACTCACCCACACATACACAAGCCTGGAGTTATTTGCCTGCACTTGCCCTGTACACAGTACAACTTGCATCAGGAATGCATGCACGCGGACAGAGCAGGTACCCCAAAGACTATACCACAACTCTCTATCCCGGCCATCCCAGCGCTGTCACCCCACAGGTGCCAGCCCAGTGATCATTAGAGAGGAGGGACAGCCACTAAAAGTTGGCATCAGGCTCTGCATCTCATGCTACTTCTCCCCAGATCCATTCATTCAATTGCGTAATTCACCTACTAACCCATCCCTATCAGAAAACCAGCAACAGACCTGCAGGGTGGCAGATCCAGGCTGCCAGGTCCCAGGCGTCAGCCCCATGTTTGGGACCAGCCTCTCCACTCGAGTGTGAGCAGAAACCAAGCAGTGTGAGGAGCACTGCAGCAAGGCACCTTCAGCTCAGAGGCAGCAGGATGATGCCATACTGCCTTTGGGCTGAAGCCAGTGAACCTGAAGGTGATGAAGGCTCTACCCTTCCCCACCCGCTCTGGTAGCATCTCATTAACAGAGAAGCCACCTCAGGCAGGTAGGGAACATTAACCCCATTTTGTGCCTTGACTCCTGGTCTGCGAAGGTGCAATGCAGCCTGCTCAAGGTCACCTATAGGATATCAGGAATCTAGGAGTCCAACTTTCCAGCATCCTCTCTCAACCCCCACTCTCTTCCAACGTGAAGAAAAAAGGTCTTGAATTCCAGTTGACCTGGTCCCCTCCTTCCTGGGGAGATAAGCCTAGGAACACTGGCTCCCACCCCTGCTGCGATATTAGTCCGTGCTCTCCAAGTGTAACACTGCCCACAGCAAGTACAGCATGTACGACTTTTATTTAGTTTTCTGGCATGTGCCTTAGCCATAAAAGACACAAATAAAATCTCAACATCCACCATGTACTGTATAACCGACCTCTCATAACCAGGAAGCCTGAACTCATACCCACAGAGATAATTAGACATGTAAAACAAGGCAAAGACCTCAGTTCCTCCCCTGGCCAGCTCACGCCATAGAACTGACTGAAGGAAACCAACAATTTTACATAAAATCAGAGTCCATCTCTCGCTTTCCTGCTGCAAAGGTGCAATCTGGCACAGCAGATCACACAAACTGCGTGTGTGTCGTCCCCCCCCCCCCAAGGAAAGGGGTGCCAAGACCATCACTTCCAGAGCAGTCTGCTCCCACAGCCCGCACTGGGGCCACAGAGCACCCAGCTGAGCCAGTGCCCCGGGGACTGGGTGCAGGAGGGGACACAGACCCTAACCGCCAGCCATCCTCCGGCTCCACAGGCCCTTCCTGGGCTCCGCAGGCCAGGGAGTCTGATCGCGTCTCTGACGCGCCCAGCGTGGAGCCGGGATCCGCAGCGCAGAGAGGGGCTGCCAGCACCCAGCACCGAAAGGCACCTGGCGATGCCCTGGAAGCTGCCGGGATGAAGGGGCTGTTTCTCCCAAGGCGCTTTCCCATGGCAGCCGTGAGCACAGGTCAGCCCCGCTCAGCTGCCCCCGCCACAACATGCTGCCACACAGCGCGGTCCTGGAGGCTGGCTGGGCAAACAGCAGCTCAGCCCCAAGTGCCTTGACTTGGATGGACAGGGCTCTGCAGGTCCTGAGCTCCACAGAGCACCTTTGAAATACTAATGCAGACCTGTCCTAGCATCCATCACCACTGTCCCCGCAGGACCCAGAGCCTCTGGGGCCAGCGTCAGCGATCCTGGGAGGTGCCATCTGCCTGCACACAGAAGGCTAAAGGCTCCAGACCACTTACTATGCCACTTGCTCCAAACCCATTTAGCTGAAAGAACAAGCAAAACTCCAAACACACCAAGAGTAAACAGTCCCTGCACTGAATCCACAAGCAAGCCGACAGGACCTGTCCCTTCCTCAGGGACAGAAGTACTGCCAGGCTCCAGGTCTGCAAAGAGGCAAACAGGTAGCAGGAAAAGCCTTGCTAAATTTGACTGCCCCTCCTCACGGCAGCCATCACCCCTTCCCCAGTGGAGGCAGGAGCCTCCAGCCACTCTCTAAACCAGCTCTGGGGCTGCAGCCTGCACTTCCAGCTCAGACTGAGCCCAAAGGACAACTCTCTACCCATGCTCAGAGCACCTTTCCGTGCAGATCTGGCTAGCTCCAGGACAGCACACGGTCACTTCAGCCCTGCAGAATATAAAGGACCCTGAGCCGAGTGCTTTGTCATGCAAAGCCACATGCCCTGGACTGATGCCAAAGTGCAGCAGTCCCATCTCAGAGACCTGGTTGCTGTGGGGGCGGGGGGCAGCTGAGATTTTATAAACAATGCCATTTACAGCTTTTGTCTTGCCCCAACACACGCAGTGGCTGATGCACCCCAGAAACAAGCAGGCAGGACATGAGGGAAGAAAATAAACCAGAGGAGCTTAAAAATTACTGGAGCAGAACTGAGTTTCTTGCAGTCTCAGAAACATCCTGAATCGGTAGAAAGCCAAATCGGACCCAGAGGAGAGTCACTGCAGAGT